TTTCATAAAACATCTTCATACTCTATATCATTTTCTTTTACATTTTAAAAAATTTATTGTTTTAATATCCAAGTAAATTAAAACATGACAACTTAAAATAAGACAAAGTTTAATAAATTCTTTTTAATTATTAAATGATAAAATTAATTTGCGATAATAATGTTTACAATTTGTACTAATATTGGACGTGGTTGAGAATTATTAATATATATTTGTCTATAAAATTTAATTCATGAGTTTTTTTTGGTAGTAAAATTGACTTGCCATTGATCTTTCACTGATATTTGATGCTTTTTAACAGAATCTATAGCCCAAGATTTCTTTTGAAAAATTAATTTTGTGATCAATGCTACCCAAACCACTACTACTACTACCACTATTTACACCATAGACTTCTATGCATACTTTTTTCCTGCGAGTTTTAATATAATTTGTTGCCAATAAACATCCAAGAACAGCCAGTATGTCATCATCAGATGCCATGGCCGACTGACTGACTGAGAGTCAATGGCGTAGCAAACATAACTGGCGCCCGGGGCACGACACTATAGTTGCACCCCCCTTTCCCCCCAGAAACAAATCTTGTTTGTCTTGGAGACCATTTAGTGCCCCTTTGTGAGTGGTGCCCTACTTGCCCCACCCTAGCTACGCCTCTGCTGAGAGATTTTCTTCTTTGTGTGTGGGCGATAGGAAATTTTGAAATTCCTCAAGGTCAGGAAGCCTCAAAGGATTAATTTAACGTGTATGGCCACCTTTTATTGAACATTTTGCCAAAATGCATTATATAGGCTGTTTAAAACAAACCAAAAAAAACTATCAAAGATTCTTTATATAATGCAAGAGAGGTAAGAATGCAAATCTACTCAGAATATGCATTTTTTTATTCTATTGTTCTCTAACTTTTATCATCTGTAACTCAAAGTTTTTTTCTTGCCCTTGGAGCTTCGAGTTAGGAAAGTTTCATTTTTTTTTTTTTTTAGATGAGAAGATTGTTGATTGTTGCAGTGCAAAAGTCTAAAAAGTCTATTGTTTATCTCTGTAATTTCACTTTAAGAGCTTGATATTTCTCTTTGGGCAGGAAATTTACAAAAATGAAATGACAAAATGAGCAAAAGAGACTATTAAATTAATCTTAAGATTTACAAACTGTAGTTTATTTTTTTAATTTATTAAACTAGAGCAGAAATTAATGGAAAATGTTTTAAATTAAATTAGAAACATTTCCAGGATATTTTTCTGTAATTTAAATTTATTTACATGATTTTACTACATGCATATACAGGGTTCCTACGCACCTGGAAAGTCAGGGAAAGTCAGGGATTTTCATTTGTGTTTGGAAAAGGTCAGGGAATGTCAGGGAATTTGTCGAAAATTGTCAAAAAGTCAGGGAATTTGTCTCCTTAACTGCATTGTTGATCTCGTTTGCTGAATATGGATGACCAATCACAGCCATCTGCAGGCGGCAAGAAGTAATGCTGCAATCTTTAAAAACCGAGATAACTCGGGCAAGTTCCATAGCGTTACATAAAACTCGGGCATTTGGGCCCTCCGAAAAAATTTTTGTTTTTTTTTTTGGATGTTGTCTCCAAATTTTTTCAAAAATTTTTTCCCGCGCGAAAATATTTTATCGCGATTTTAATATACCTTTAATGACGCACGATTAACGCTTAATTGTTTTTTAATGGGAGTTTTTTTTATCAAATTTCATTCATCGTTCTAAAGTAGTAGTGCACGGATTTTACTTCGATAAAGTTATTTAAAGCTAGTTTCTGATGTCAAAAACGACCTCCAATAGTTTTTTAATTTTTTTAATTTAATATATTTTATTATATATACGTTTAATTAAGTCGGGGGGTCGGAAATCGCAATAAAAAAACGTAATTTTTGAAAAATATTTAAAAATATACGGCCAGCTAGTATTCACTCTACTTTAAACCCTTCTCCTCCCGAGACTTCTATGAGAATGTCCCGGGAAATCCCAACACCAGCTGTTCTCCAGGTCATCCAGCTGTAAACACAATGACTCATCGGTGTCAGATTTCACAGAAAGGCGAGACAATGGAAAATAAAGTTTGAAGCTTTTTCTTCAAAATTAACGCATTTCTTTCGTTTTTTCCCCAGTTTTAAATATTTTTTATGTTTAATTACATTAATATTAAAAATTAGTGAGTAGCAAGGGAGTTAATTAATAACAGGATAAACTACTTTTATGTAATAGTGTTTAATTTTTAATTTTAGTAATTCAGCGATTATAAAAAAATGAAATTGTTTATTAGAATAAAAAATAACTAATTAAAAATTTGTTTGCAAACTTTTAAAAGTTGAAATCGTAATTTATTAGAATGTTCACTTCAAAATAGCTAAACAGATCAGTAAAAATCTGTAATTTAATCGTTTTTCAGTTTAAAACATAAAAAATTATAAATAGTTACCCGACGTTTACAGTAAAATACTGGCGCTGACTTGTTGTTGGCACAAGCTTTTTATATTTGTTGTTACGATTTTCCTTGAATGTACTGTACTGCAAGCATATTTTCCCTCTCTCTTCCGTTTTTTTCCGCAACTTCGATACATAGTTTAATAATTAGTTAACTGAAATGACATTGGGTAACAAATATCACTGATTTTGGCAAATTTAGGGCTTAAAAACTGGCAAGATTGATCATGCTTGTAATAAATATTCTGTAGTTATATTTTCGAAAATCAACAGGTAATCCGATAGTTTAACCAATGTTAACTTGCTTATAATTAAAATTTAAAAATTAAAAAGCTGTAAATTTAAAAAAAAATAATTACATTACTAAAAAATTAAAATAAATTTGATTATTTTTTGTGCGAAACAACACCAAAACAATTTTTATAGTTATGTTGCAAAAGAAAGAGATTTGTAGTTACGATTCTCTGCGCTGAACTTCTATATTTTAATAACGTATAATTGTAATTTCGTTTGTTGTTTATTTCTGTATTTATTTTATTTTATAAGTTTTAAGAATCCCAATTTTCGTAATACTATGACTTCATAGGAATACAAGTGTGAGGTTCCGGAATTGTCCGGAACTAAAATAGAAAAACGTAAAATAATTTAATTATTAGAGAAAAAAAGGAATGAACAGAAATTTTTTATAGAAACTTGAGAAATAGTCTAGACCCGTGTTTCTCAACCGCCGGTCCGCAACTCTAATCTGACCAGTCCGCGAAAACTTTAAAAATATATACTGTACCTTCCATGCGTTGTTCTCAAATAGGAAATATGTGGATTATTAATCCGTTTATTGATAGCAAACTAATAGATTGAACGACTTTGAATACGAAAAACTAATCAAATTAAGTTCAGACTTGGGATTTAAAACATTGTTTGAATCAATGCCCATAACACAGTTTTGGATTAAAGTTAAATCTGAATATCCAGTTTTACATAAAAAGGCAGTTAGGATGTTACTACCTTTTTCAACAACGTACTTATGTGAATCAATGTTTTCAGCAATGGTAATGATAAAATTGAAACAACAAAATCATTATAGTATTAGTTCTGCCTCACGCCTTGCAGTTACCGCCTTAACTCCAAGAATTGATGATCTTACTAGCAAAAAAGAAAAGCAGCGATCACATTGATTTGTATACTAATGTACTGGTAAATAAAATAACAAATATTTATTGCTCAATGTAGTTTGCAGTTCTTTTTACAACAGAGAATTTTTTTCAATTAAAAATAATATTGTCACTGGTCCACTTAAAAAAAGCAGATATTTTCCGGTCTGCGATGAGTTTTGGGTTGAGAAACACTGGTCTAGATCATCCTTTCTCAAAGTGGGTGATAACGCCCCTTTGCGGGCACTGGAGGCTTTCATGGGGGCAGTAGAAGGCTCAGTGATTAAATATGAGTTTTATTTCTTCTCATCAAAACATTCTTTGATCTCAGAAATAGGATATGGGTCACACCCTATCTATCCTATCCATATAATAATGCATGTTTAAACATTATATTTGCAATAACTGTTTTTAAGATATGCAACAGATGGTAATGTAAAAAGGTTAAAAAAAAGTTACTCTTTTTGTTGAAAGATTGATTTTAAAATTATGTGTTTCTAAATCAAGAGTTCATTTTAAGCACAGTACAGTACTATTTGTTTATCAAAGAATAATTTTTGTTGATTTTATGTTACCTTGTATTTACTAGATTTACATACAAATAATAAAGATAAATGATGATAAAATAAAAAGCTTGTGTTTTGTTTGTAAATCGCTTATTTTTTCATTACATTGAAGTTGTGGATTCTATCAAACATTTTTCTACAGGATGTATGTACTGTATTTTTTTAATGTGGCAGTCTTTGAAGCATATCAACTGTGCAAAAAGAGAGCTAAATGTTCTCAATGTTAACAGTAAATGCTGTTTTATTATGTCGATATTCCACTCTAAAAAATGTGAGGGTCAGGGAATTTGGACAAAGTTGGTCAGGGAAAGTCAGGGAATTCAAAACAAAAATTTGAGTAGGAACCCTGCATATACAATGTACATACTATTATTTATTATTTAAAGTAAAAGTTAATTACTATAATTAAATTCATATTTATGACTTATGAACATGATATTTCAGAAATCTCCTTCTGCTGTTTCGACTAATCATAAAATTTCTGAAGGAATAAAGAATGGAGTATTAGGTAAGTCAATGAAATTTTTTCAAAAACTATACAAATTTATTTTAAATACCATTGTATTATCAAATAATGCAAACATCACAAATTATCATATTTACGCATATATAGGCTGCACTTTTTACCCTAATTTTAGTAAAAAAATTAGGGTGCAATCTATATTCAAGATATGAATAATTTTAAAGCAATTTCAAATTAGGTAGGTATCAGGAAGCTGCTGTGCCATTGAAATTAAATGCCAAATCAAGAGCTTGTTGTACCACGAAACACCTTGCACAGCCATAACTTCCTTTAAATTCACTTTTGGGAATTTTGATATTTTATGCAGTCCTTTGGGATTCAAACTGAATCATTTCAATCAACACAAAGCATACATTTGCTCAAATTTCAAAAAGCAAATCTGTTGAGATTTGCTTTTTGATTGTGTTGTTTTGCTGTTTTTCTACAAAACAGTTGCTGGTTTTGTGATGTTTTCTCAAGAGCATCCTTTATTTCAGTGGTCCCCAACCCCCGGGCCGCGGACCGGTACCGGTCCGTGGATCAAATGGTACCGGGCCGCCCAAAGAACATTAAATTATTTCCATTTTATTTACTATGGTGTATTTGTCTCCGGTTTGTGCGACTTTTAATAGACGACGGAACAGCGGAATAAACTGGATATAAGAAACACACTTCGAGTGTCATTGCCTTCTATTACCCCCAGATGGAACTGTCTCGTTGCAAAGAAACAAGCTCAGGGTTCTCATTGATTTAGCGTTCTGGTGAGTTAAAATGTTAAATCACATTATATTCATTTTTTGGTGTAGTTGTATTTTATTTTGAAGGCACGTTTAAATACAGTTAAATTAAAATTATTAAATTAAATCAATGTAAAATATGAACAATCAACGTCCCCCCTCAGTGGGCCGCGGTAAAGTTATCAAACGTTGACCGGTCCGCGGCGATAAAAAGGTTGGGGACCGCTGCTTTATTTGAATCTATTGTCACACTTTTTTCATTTACATCAAACTTTCTTCCTGCTTCTCAATTTCCATTTTCTCGTGCATAATGCATCATATGCAATTTAAACTTCAATGTGTAACTCATGCTCACTTGACCCATGTTTAACATGCACTGAGCAGGCACTCAATATTAAGCATTAATGATCACTTTATCCATTTGTTTGGAATTTGCAGTGTTGCCATATTTCTGTATACTTATATTCTACTCTCATCCCTCAACAGAATTTTGAAATTTTTATTTTTTCCAGGTATATTTTTTCAGAAATGGGGTGCAGCTTATATAAGCATAAATATGGTATTATTGTAAAATTATATACTTGCTGAATACTTTTCAATGACTTTCTTTAATAAAATTTTTTGTTTTTAATTTATTATTATTATTATTATGTATTTATTTATTTTGATTACTTTTTACAGAAAATTTTCTCTATGTTAATATAATTAATGACATTAACAACAAAGTTATATTTTTCCAAATTGTTTCAAATGAGTCAATATTAGAAAAACTCCACATACCTTGTTTTCCGATGCATTACAAACAATACTATAATTATGATTTAAAAGATGCAAATTTTACACAATTGTATAATTAGTAATTCACTGTTGTCTTGTCCCACATATAATAAAAACACTTGTATTATGAACGTAAATTAGTGTAAAAGTTTTTCCAGATTAGATGAAACTTGTTTAGATATATTTGAGCAATTTCTCTCTTAATAATATAAGGTAATTGATGATGATAAAGAGGCCATGACAGTTATCCAGTATTTTGGCTACTAGGAAAGGAATTTAACATTGGCTACCTCTTCCTCCTCTTCCTCTTCTCTTAAGAAAAGATTATCAAATTCAAACGAAATTGTGTCACTTTCTTGAAAATGATGGAAAGTAAATTATATATTATGATAAAAGATATTAGACCTAAATAATCAAAACCTGATATTTTGTGACCAGGATAACAAAACAATAAATCAACTATATCAAAGAAAATAATGAGAAAAGTTTTCTTAGCTCAAAAAGTTACCAATAACCTTAACAATTCAAGTGTTTCATTTTAAATATTTTAATTTTTTTAATTAACAACAAAATTTAACACTTATAAAAATTATTATAATTAGATTATAATTAGCAAGTTTCCATTATTAAAGTTTAATTAGCACTAATGCAGTAAATAATACAACAATAAATATTGGAAAAAAATTACTTAGTTTTGAACAAAAAATTATGTATCATTTTGAACAACAAAAGGAAAAGGATTTAACAGCTATATCCAACAAGAAATGACTTTTAACTTCTAACTTAAATCTATCTTACAAACACAAATTTTCTCAAACCAACCATCTATTCATCACAATCTGTGTCAACTGGACATTACATCTCAGCTTTTCATCTACAGTCTTTTAAGCATTGAATATGACATACCAGTGGTGCGTCGTGACATTTGACAATAGGGAAGCTGTGTGTCTGTAAGAAGCCAACATTCAGGGGTAATCAATCAATTGTGCATTAGTGATGGTCTAGGGTCCATTTGTATTGTTTATTCGATAAGCCAGTAAAAACCGTAGACTTCTCTAAATGCATTTTTAATATCACAGTTACATTCCGAATCGCTATCCACGATATAAGGGCTACAATTAAAAATAAAATAATAAAAACTTACTTGGTGAAATAAAATGTGTGGTCAGGGCTTTGGAGTTGGAGTCGGAGAGTTTTGGTGTTTTAGCCGGAGTCTGAGTCATCAAAATATCCGCTGACTCTGACTCCTTTTTACTTACCAACTTGTTATGTATATAAAACGGAAAAGTATTGGAATTGTGTCACATTTGACCCTCCAAGTTTCTTTTGCAAAGCTACACGTTTGGAGACCTCCCGAATCCCTGAAAAAAGTCAATAAAGGGGAAAAATTTGTGTGAGTGTGTGTGTTGACATCTAATTTGTTTAATTTTTTTATTTTAGGTTCTGAGATATTAAACAATATCTCAGAATGGGTAAAGTTTAAGAAACGAAATGTGGCACTGTAGCTTCCATATAAAGGGACATTAATACTATTAAATTTTGGTTCTTAATTAAAGGTCGACAGGGTGAAGACATAAAAGGGGTCATGTGTCATATCTCTTAATGAATATTTTACTCGTTATTAGCGTTCAAAATTTAAAAAAAAAATAAAAAATAAAAATAATAATAATAATAAAACTCGTCTCTACCCTCAAAGTAAGCTTTTTTGCCATTTTATAATAGTACAGTAAAATCCGTTAAGATGTTCTCGCCTAAGACGTTAGAATGGAAATGGAGACATGATTTAGTTTAACCACTTTGATGCTTAATAACCTACTCCTGTGTTAAACCATCTGACTCCGATTCTGACCACTCTGACCACAGAAATTATTAGGCTTCAAACAGGGTGAACAAAATCATGCCCCCCACACACACAGTCTAACATTTACACATACAGAAATACCTCGAGTCTTTTGCAAATCTCAAAATTTCAAGGTGTCCCGAGTACAAAAATGTAAAAATTTGGGAGGAGTCATTTTTTGACCGAGCGCTACACTTTTCCTTTGTTATATATAACAGCCGGAAAAGTAAAAATTATTGAATACATATTTATATAGGCCTATTACTTAGAGAAGTCTTTTAGCTTTGGAATAAAACTACAGTAGAGCATCGATTATCTGACTCAATTGGGGACTCAGGTTGGTCGGATAACTGAAAAAAATCGGATAACCGAAAAAATGAAAAAATACATTATTAGTATAGTATATTAGTATATCGCTGTTAACCAACTTTGCATTGAATTTTCATCTATGTTAAGCCTAACAAATTTTTTAAAATAATAATCGTCGCTATTGTATCGTTAAAAATTATTTTTAAATTATTTTATTGCTCACAAAACAAACAGCCATTCATAATTAGAAAATTAAGTCTCATTTAAATACTGGCCTCCCTTCAATGGTCGAGTCGGTGTTGCCAGCTAAAACACGCAAAAATTTAACAAAAATAATATTAAAGTAGCCAAGATATAGCCAAATATTGTAACGCCACATCACTAGCAGACATTTGAAATTTGCCGACTAGAACGGTCGGTTAACCAATGTGACAGTTAATCGGGGGTCAGATAATCAATGCTCTACTGTATATTCCAAAGCTAAAAGACGTTCTATCTTTATTAGAACTCTGTTTATTGAATTTTTTATTCTTTTTTGATGACATCAGAATTTTCGGGTCTCTTTCGGTAACAAGTCCGCCCTGAGTCGGAGTCGGATGGTAAGGAAAAGTCGGAGTCAGAGTTGGAGTCGGTAGATTTTTACACGACTCCACAGTCCTGTGTGTGGTGGATGTACTGGTACATACATGGTACAAAATATTCTTCAATTGTACGAATATACTTTTAAAGAAAATTATAATTAAATATAGCTTTGTAAAGAAACGTACATAAATATATAAAATATTCTTTACTTTTTAAATTTTAAAACAATGCACTTAGTCAAATAGCTCCCTACGAGTGGCTAATGGATGGAATTGAAGAAAGTTGCAAAGTGTGCATACACACGGACTGCCAAATCCCCAGGGTGTCAATATCGGTCAATGTCAAATACCTCTTTTGTTGCATCACTAGTATATCTCAAAGGACGCGACAGGGCTGTTGTAGATTTTAAACATTTCTCACCATAGCTATAAAATTCTAAATATGTTAAACTTAATAGTCATTTGTTTTCTAACTAATTGGTTTTAGGACCAAGTGTCCTCAGAAATTTCTAAAATTTACAACTTTTTGGTCATTCTCATTGAACTGGAAAAATTTCTGTTTTTATTACATTAATAATACGAAGAAATCAGTCTCCACTGTACTCGGCTAGAGATAGTTCGGTTAAGCTTTTGTTAAGTAAAATTTCGGCTCTTTCATCAGGGTTTTGTTTATGTCCCCAATTCCCTAATTGCTTAATTATTTAACTACTACTTAAGTCAAATAAGTCGAAACCAGTTACTTTGTACTCGAATATTTGTAGTCTTGGGAAAAAAGTGGAAAGACAAATTTTTATGACAAATGGATACATAAATTGTAAATTTAAGGAAAATAAATTTTACACCTTTTTCTGTGCATATCTCTCATTCATTAAATTTAGTTGTAAATGATGCTGTCAAAGTAACAGTTAATTTTTTAACATTATACAAGAATTGTACACATTTTGAAAAAAACATGTACAATTCTTGTATAATGTTTCCCTTAGAGATGGGACATATGAAATCGTAATATCACTGGTTTAACATTGAAATTTGTGAGTAATATAAAATCGGAGAGCGGAATAAAAATATCAAATATTTTAATGGATTTCTTTTAACCCCTGTCAACTATACAGAACTATCATAAAAACATACCAGTAAATTCTTATCAGTTGGGTTAAGTTATAAATCTACTTGTGATTCACATAATCGGGTGAGGGTGGCCAAATATCTAGCGGGCAGGCGGCTAACAGCCCAGAACCAGTCCTGGATAGAATTGGATGCGGTGTACATGTAGCATCCACCCAAGGTCATAGGCTTCCACCAGCTAAACCGGGTGAGGTTGGTGCTCTGTAAAGTGCATGCGCGAATCTGGCTTTTTGGATGCTGATGATACAGTGCTTCCACTCTGCTACTAATATTCGAATATACAATACCAATCTTATTTTTTTTTCACATGTAGTATAGAAATTTGTAATAAGATACTTAATGCAGTTATAATAAAATATTGTGCGATTATTTACATATACAGTAGAGCATTGATTATCCGACCCCCAATTAACCGTCACCTTGGTTAACCGACCACGTTCTAGTCGGCACATTCAAATGTCCGCTAGTGATGTGGCACTACAATATTTGGCTATGTCTTGGCTACTTTAATATTATTTTTGCGTGATTTAGCTGGCAACACTGGATCGACCATGAAAGGGAGCCAGTATTTAAACGAGGCTTAATTTTCTAATTTTTAACGATACAATAGCGACGATTATTATGTTTAAAAGAATTTGATGGGCTTAACATGGAGGAAAATTCAAAGTAGGTTAATAGTAATATACTAATATACTAATTACATGGGATATAATAATATACTACACTAATAATGGATTTTTTTCATACTTTTCGGTTATCCGACTTTTCAATTATCCGACCAACCCCAGTCCCCAATTGAGTCGGATAATCGAGGCTCTACTGTAATTAAAATTAATATGTATTTATTTTTAGAAAATACAAGGGAAGCGGTGCATCCACCACTTCCAGTGACGGCACGCCACTGTGACATACTATTTCTAACATTATTGCATTCTCATCTATATACTTATTTGCTAGCAATTGTTTTACAATTCTCTCTTACTGACAATTTTCCCATACTGTATGACAAAATTACCCTTTAACATAATGATTTAATGACCCTTTTTAATTCACCAAATCATGGATACTATTTTTAAATGGAATCTATTGACACAAGTGACAACAGGCATGGGGTAAAGCTATCGGGTTATTTAGTTGAGATTAATTTTGAATGCAAGGTGTGGATTTTTCATTTTTTAACAAAACAAACCCCAAAAATAAGTAAAAAATATATATAACAGCACAAAAAATTTAAAATAATGTTTGGACTTAGTTTTTCACAATATTAAATAATTTTTTGTTTTTGATAGGTCATTTACCTAATGATTCATCTGCATCTTCAACTTCAAAAAGTAAAAGCATTACTAAAACAACATCATCTCCAGCTATTATTCGAGTATCATCGTCAAGTTCTTCCAGTTTGGTGAATGGAAATGCTTATGGTGTTTCACCAAAGCTGTCGTTACCGCAGAACAGAGAGAAAGTAGTTTTTGGAATTCGCAGGCCAGAACCAGGAATGAAAACTTTAATAGATAAAACTCAACTCAATCATAATGTAAAATATAATTCTTCTGTATCAAATAATTCTGGTCATGCTTGTCTTGTGCCATATGCAGGTGATTCTTCTGAATCATCAGATGATGAACATAGAAAAATTAAGTCAAAAACATCAAACTACAAAAATTCTGCTAAAAATACTCATGAAACAAGCAAATCAGAAGCAACTTCCACAGTTAATTCAGACAGTTGTAAAAATAAAATTGATTTGAAGGAAGAAAGTAAGGATAATGTTGGACAGAAATCTGAAGATTGTGTTGCTACATCTAACAAACATAAAATAACAAATGAAAATTTTGTGAAAAAGTCAAGTGCTTATAGAACTTCATCTCCATCTGTTACTCCATCAGATTCTCTTCAGGTTACAACCAAGGTAAAATCAACATTTCCTTGGCATGTTAGTGATGCTAGTCTGCACTCTCCGTCCGTTGCATCAGGATCAAGTACAAATAGTGTTAATTCAACAGCAGACTGGACTGTAACTGATCAAGAAAACATTAATAGGAACAAAATAGAGCGTACTTATACTGGTTGGACTATCACCCAAAATGAAAAATCAAGTAATGAACAAATTAAAACAAAGGGACCATCTACACATCATAAAGATACAATTAAAAAATCATTATCAAATAGTAATAATAGTGAATGCTCAGAGTTGCTTAACAAATCTGAAGTTTTAGTGGAATCTTCTTCTAATGGAAATACAAGTGTGTTAAATGATGCTGAAGAGTCTCCCACAAAAACTAAAACTAATGAAGATTTGCAATATTGCACTAATAAGTCTAGTAGTAGTAAGTCATCTGAACTATTTGATGTGGATGTAAATAATTTTAAAAGTGAAAATGAACAGTCATTTCAGGACCATGCAGTCAGTAAAGAAAATTCCTTTCTTAAAAGTGGTAAAAAACGTAAAAGTATTGACTCAGAAAAAGGAAAATTCCAAGATTCTTCAAGTAAAAGAACATCATCATCAGCATCTTCATCATCATCATTATCTTCATCATCATCCAAGAGCCTCATCAGTGACATTCATAAGAGCACTAGTTCGAAGTGGGAGTCCAAATTTTTTGACAATGATGAAACAAGCTATTATCCAGTGTCTAAGAAATGCAAAAGTTCATACAATGAACATGAAGAAAGAAAAGAGGGTTACAGATATAAAAAAAGAATAGATGAGAAGTGGAAAAGTAAAAAGAAATATAGTAAACATACTGAAGATTTTTGGCAAGCGCATAAAAGTTACAGATCAGGGAAAAAATCTAAAAGTAGAAAATACGATCATAGAGAAATGCAGAATAATTACTATAATTCATCATTTAATGCAAGAAATGAAAGGCATTACAGTTATGAAGGAAATCATTATAAAGAAAAATTTAATTCAGAATTGCAGAATAGTATAACTCATCAAGCTGAAAACACTCATCAAAAAGCAAATGTAAAAATAAAACATAAAAATGGACTCGATAAATCTTTACTAGAAAATTCATGGGATAAAAAGTATTTAAAACAAAAAAAACATTTAAATTATAAGAGTGGAGATAGTGATAATAGTAGCTGCAGTTACGAAATGGAATGGGTAGAGAAGACAAAGGAAACTGTAGAAGCTGAACAAAAAACTTCAAAATCTTACAATGGTAATTGATTTATCATACTTTTTCAAAAAATAATTTCTTATGATAGATAAATTTTAATATTTATTTTTATACAACTCATGCAATAATTTTTCCCTAGGCAATTGGACTTGTTGAAAATCAAAGTGATTGGTATTTAGGGAAACTTTGGAAAAATCATAGACCTTGGCCAGCATTAGTAAGTATTTTTGCTTTATTTAAAATTATGTCATTATGTTTATCTGTTAATTTATAGCTAAATGATAGAAGCCTGAAAATTTTCAGTTTAAATTTATAAATTAGTTTGATTTTTAAAAACTTAATATTATTGCAATAAAAATAATACTTATTTAGTTTAAATAATGTCTACATAAAAATTTTTTACAGTTACTTTGGCATTCTAAACACCTGTACTTGGTCNTTATATTATTGGAGTGTATAATTTTAATAATAATTAAATTTATATCTAATAAAAACACATATTAAAGTAATGCATTTTATAACTAACAACATTGGAAAGTTTTTCCTATTTATATTCTGAAATTAAGTATACCAAAATAATTTTGTACTGTAAATTATAGAATTTAAGATTATTTTAAGTCTGAAATTACTATGTGTAACTGATATAAATATCTTTTATCCTAATTGCATATTAGTTTTAGCTTCTTATATTTTTTGGAGATTAACTTGTAAGATGGGTGTCAACCTAAACTAAAATTTTAATCTGAAAATCTCAAGATCAACTTATACACCAGGTCAATTTATACACCTAATTTACAGTATTTATTAAAAGTAAAAGATGATAACTATTCATGAATCTAAATGATTGCTGTGTTAAATCTGGCTATAATACTGCTGCTATTAATAAATTCTGAGTAATTTGGCACTAGAGGTAGGTGTTAGATGCCATATCTTATTAAATTTAATAAGAGATGGTGCCTAACACCTATCTCTAGTGCAAAATTACTCAGGATTTAATAATAGCAGTAATATAGCCCCAGTACCGTAACTAGACAGGTGCAACAGGTGCACCCGTGCAGGGCCCACTTAGAAGGGGGACCCAAAATGCATGTATTTGTTTTATTACTTTTCCAAACTTAATTAATTAAGGGGCCTAAATGCAAATTCTTGCACAGGGCACAGGAATTGCTAGTTACAGCACTGTATAGCCCAATTTAATCTGGCAATCATTTTGCTTTAACATAACTATCCAGGCTTAAAGATGTTTATATATCTATTTCTGAAGATTTATAAAATGTATTTATAATGCATTTGTGAGAACTGAGGGGGCAAACTCTGTACCCCATTTACCAGCTTCTCTGTCAAGGGATGGCCTATGTTGTAAATGAGTTGGAGGGTTTTTAGTGTAGTGGGGAAGGTTGATGAGTAAGTCGACAAGGTGTTCGCAAAGAATTATAGACAGGTCCACAGGTTCAACAAATAACACATTTAATATTAATATATACTAAACCTAATACATAAGGTTTTCTAAGTTTAAATACTGCTACTTAAAGCTATAGCGTTACTACTACTTATAGAACTACAGTGGTACCTTGGTATATGTCTGCTTTAGAATACATCCAATTTGGAATATGTCCTGTTTGGACAAAACAGATTTTGCTTGGTATACAACTTAATTCAATTATACATGCCATCTATGAACAAATAGCACTATCGGTGTACTAGATCAGACTAGACGTTCGCGGTGCAATGGTTTATAACTTTGTTAAATTTCTTCAGATTTTAATTTGTAAGTAAAATTTTATTATTTTTATTAATCCTGAATTGCAAAAAGGCAAATGAAAAGCAACAGAGAACTAAAAAAATGACTAGAATCACAATGGAACTGAAAAAAGAGATTGTTGAGAAATATGAAGGTGGCGTGCGTGTTCGAGATTTAACTATTGCATACCGTATTCTGAGAATGTTGATATCAACAGTCGTGAAAAATAAAGACATTATTAAATCTGCTAACGTTGCGAAAGGGGTTAAATCAATTTCTAAACAGAGATTGAAGACTTTAGATCATGTTGAGAAATTGCTTTTGCTTTGGATAACTGAAAAACAGTATGCCGGCAACAGCATATCAGAAGCAATTATTTGTGAGAAAGCTAAAAAGATACATGCTGATCTCATGAAAAATCAAGCAGGAACTAGCCAGGAAAGCGAGGTGTTTAAAGCTAGCCATTTTTTTTACATGAGAATGGATTAATCATTTTTACATTACTTGTTATGGGAAAGGTTGGTTTGGTATACATCCAATTTGGTATAAGTCCAAACATCAGGAACGGATTAAGGTTGTATACCGAGGTTCCACTGTACTTAACTAAAGAACAGAGAGAGTTTACAATGCTGTCTATGTCATACCTTATAGACCTCTGGTTCCCAATCTTGTTGTATAGGATGTCAGTAAAACACTCCTGGATTGGCAGGTTGACCAGTAGTCTTCCTTTAGGAGAGAGAGCGATTATGGCAGGGTGGCAAGGGATGCAATGATAGTATGGGACTGATGTCCTCTGATGATGTCTGCGCTTAGGACCATGTTCAAGCCCTTTTTATACCCATTTTTGAGAGAGCTAACTAATATTATGTATGATGCAACCCGTTCTAAGTTCTGTTTGTGTCCGGGTTTTGTTTATGTTAATTATCAGAAATTGAACATTTCTTTAAATTTATTACCTCTTTGTATCCACATGATTACTCATTCTACCTCATAAATTTGATAACAGCTGTCAAACAGACTGAATTAATTGCTAGAGATGACTAACGTCAGAGTTTGTCTTACAACCTTAGTAATAATTGTTAACTTATATGGTCATCTTGATTGACATTATCATTCACAAAATCGGACGAAATAGGAAGTGTTTGGGTGGGTTCGATTCGGACTTCTTTCACCTGTTTGACCTTTTAATATTTTCACACTATATTGTAAAAAGAATTCTTAATTATGATTTAATTAATTATTCTTACTTCTAATTGTTTCTTTTTCAGTCCTTCCCTCATATTCTCACACATTTTGTTTTTATAAATTATGACTGTAATAAATAAAATAGTGTTCTAAAGAGAAATTAAATATCCATTTAGCTTCGTTGATTTTTTGAAACATGTTTTGAACAAAAAAAATTTTGTTTTCTACAAATAAGATATCGTGGAAAATACAGATGCAAAGTTTTTCATTTTATATTGGAATAAGTCTAAAAATATAAAATAGTTTTTCTGTTTTCATGCACAACAGAAAATTTATATTTTGCATTAATTTTCTGTCTATAATTTAGTGCATGTGTGCTGATAAGGATTTTTACACATGCATTAAACTATAAAGAGACTCTGCAAAAATTAATGCAAAATATAAATTTTCTGTTGTGCATGAAAACAGAAAAACTATTTTATATTTTTAGTCTAAACTTATAAACCTGATGTTGGTAACAAAATTTAATGAATACAACAAAAAAAGTAAAATGAAAATTGTAAAATAAACATAAAATATATTTAATAAATTTGAATATATGAGTTTATCTTTTACAATTAAAATATATTTTTTGTAACACAATCAAGATTGAGTTACAATAAATATATTTTAATTGGAAATGGTGTTTCTCTTCCCTCAGTATAATAAGTCCTGTTGTTATACTGAGGGAAGAGAAACACAGCATTTCCAATTAAAATATATTTATTCCTATTTCACAAGAACATCCACTTTGTATAATATAATATAAGTAATTAAGGTCAAGAAGCACACATATCAACATGAGTTTAGTCCTTTTTTGGATACAAATCAAGTAAAAGAATTAAGCAGAATTTAATACACAAATTTCAGAACAGAGCAAGTGTATTTTAAAAAGGAATGATAAATAAATTATTAAACTAATTAATATATATTTATGTATTTAATATACATTATAGTTTAGTAGCAATTGTTAAAAAATACATCATTTAGATAGTAAGTTTAGCTTATTAGTTCTTATTGTAATCAGATTGAGGCGGAGAATTAGCAAAGCCTCTTCTATGTGACTTACAGAATTGTGTTCATTCTCAAAATTTGATTGATTGATTTTGATTAAACTTTGCCATTTTCCATTAATTGGAATGAGGAATCCAAAAATGAAATAAAATATGGTGGTCCATGACTTCCTTTTTGAGATACAATGGTGAACAAAGTGATAATGTCCATGCTTCCTGATGCAATTCAGCATGCCTAATAGAATTTAGGGATAAGGAAAAAATACTGCATGCACCTAATGAGTAATGGGCACAAAAAATGACCAAAACACATAAGAACAAAGAAATCTATGCCAATTGCTTTGTTCCTGAATTACCTTCTCTGTAGTGGGAAATGCAAGGATCATCTGTGTAATCATCAGGTGTAAGGGTTGCCACTCTGTGCTAAGCAAGTGTATGGATCACCTCTTTCTTTTTGGCTCTGCCTCACTTCTATCATGATACAACAAAGTTGCTCAATGTCGTTGTAATTTTATTATTATTTTATGTTGTTATATTAATTAATATTTAATAATTCATTTATGTATTTAATTAAAAAATAAACAAAGTTTTATTTTTTAAAATACTTTATTCTGAAATATATGAGTTCTGATTTTTATTATTTATTTGGATGCATATGAAAAACTTTAAAAAATTCAGCAATATTTGTATTTTCAAATTTATTAGCTTTTTTCATTTGTTTTTTACAACTTAATGCTGAATTTGCATTCTTTAAATTTAATAGTATAAACTGTAGTTCCAGAAGATTTCAAATATCAAAAATTTCTATTGGTTGTAACAGATAAAGAAAGATCCTTATCTGATTTCAGTCTCATAAGCAAATCATTGTCTTTGTGATGTATTTGTTAGATTTACTGTATCAGTCTTAATCTCAAGGTTAAACACATTTTGATATACAGAATTACCCTTGACACATTGCACAAGTGTAAATCTTTGAGTTAAACTGCCAGGCAAGTTAATTGGCCAATTTCGAGTATTCTGTTGATTAGTGAAGAAACAAGATGATCAACCAGCTCTGATTCCGTTGTGAACAACCTTTATTTAGAATATTTAAAGAAATTTATCCAAATATTGGCAGAATATTTTTATGAAGGATCACACTTATAATGTTGTATAGAAATTATAAGTTCTGAGAATCGATTTAAAAATCTAAAATTTTATGTTAATTTTTAGAGTTAAGTGAATATACTTAAATTAAAATACGAGGGATTTTTTTAAAATAAAGTCTGTTTTTTAATAAGAGGAAAAATACTGTAAATATCATTAAAATATATTTTTTCCCATATTCTACATACTTTTATCTACTTTCCTACATAATTTCCATTTTTGTTCAAACATTTGTCATACCTCTCAAAAATTTTTTTAATTTCAACTTCAAAGAAATCTGCCGCCTACCGCCAAAAGACATTAGGCCATGCCACTTGTCTTGTATGGCACGGCGGAGTTTTCTCAAGGACACAATAAGCATCAGAATTGATTATTGTGCCTCTTGGCATAAAATCCACTAACAAAGTCCCTTTCCTGTTCCAAAAGACAGTTACCATATCTTTCGTGCTGAAATCAAAAAGCAGATTGTATCTTACAGTCGGTGGGTGACTCAATTTTCTTAAACATTATAAACTTCTACAGTTCAGCACACAGACAGACGATACAGCTGCAAATGGCATCTAAACATGTGCAAAACATGCTGAAAGCAGATGTTCATGCACACTACTGCAATTGCGCATTATTCTCACTCTCATTTACAAACGGACCTTATTTAAAAAATAGCCCTCATATTATAGATAAAAGCCACCAAATCTCCTAATATATATCTTTGTGTGTACTCCAATCTGTTTCATGCCTTCATTCACTTATGTCTTATATGCGAGTAAATATTTACCGTATTTACTGTAAGTATTTGCTCGCATATAAGATGAAGTTTTTATTAATTTTTCATTGCTTCAAAAACCTAGGTCATCCTATATGTGCAAGCGAAGGATTCTTTGCATTTTTGCAATAATTTTTATGAACCGTGTGTTCACATTTTTTACCAGATGCTCACCTGCTGATGTTTAAAAACAAGTATTTTATCTGGGTCATTTCAATAGTTGTTGTGTATTGTCAGGAGTAAAGATATATAGCAATAGGAAGAGCAATGCTTTTGAATTGAATTCAAGATTGAAATTCCAAAATCAGACAGCAGCACGATATAAGTTTTAATCCATTCCCACGTGAAAACAGATGATTATTTGGAGAAACTCATAAGTGTAATCGATGGAGTGGAGTCGACTGTTAAGAATTGGTAAAAAAGGTTCTTGTCCAGCTTTACTTTAACAAATTATGTTGTTGACTTTAAAAGATTTTTCCTTAAAGTTTAAAATGGCAGGACAATGTGTGCATTTACATGCATTTGACATTTTATTTTTGATTAAACAAAATAAAATTAAATTGTATTAATAAGTCTAGTTTTCTTTATTTTGATTTTTAAAGTCACACCTCATCCTATTTGTGAGATCGTCTTACAAGCAAATATTTATATAGAAACATTAAATATGTTTTTATATAAATATTCTGAATATCCTTTAAATTTAGGTGTTGCCATACCGATAATGACAGTTACTTGCATGGTAATGTGTTACTGGTGATCTTGGCTATTGCATTTTTATGGTAACATACCTACTTGTGCTAAGTATATACAAACCATCAGTGATGGGGGTAACTCACACTCAAAAATTTCTGATTATATCCCTGCAGTATCATAATTCTTTTTTTTTTTTTTTATTTGTTAGAAAATCTGTAGCTACCTTGGACATATATTTCGAATCATTGTTTCTCTGAAAAATATAATGCCTTTGAATACCCATTTTTGATGTAGATTGAATTCAGTTGGCATCTAGTGTATCTCTGAAAGCAAAAACATTCATTGTAGAGGCAATAAATGCCAAATTAACAATACCACTGTAAGAGAGGCAGATCCAATACCATTACAAAGCCTCTGCCATGTTTCACTGCAGGCTTCAAATAACATATTTTCAAGATTGATTCTTTTGGTCTTCACATACAGGTTTTTCTTTTTGTCCAAATAGTTCAAATTTCAACTCAGCAGATCAAATAATTGACTTCCAAAATTCTAGTGGTTTGTTGACATATTTTGTAGCAAATTGGAATCTTTTTCATTTGAGTAGGAGTTAAAGTAGCTTTTTTCTTGCCATTCTGCCATGAAAGTTTTTTACATGTAATCAGTTTCTAATCAATTGAATTGAAGGATCCTCTTTTATCATGGCCAAACACATCAGATTTAATTTCTCTTACAGTTTTCTTTGGGTCTCCATTTGCAGCACTTACAATCTACCTATCTTGATGAGTAGATATCATCATATATTTGGTAATTACAGTGCTTTTTTGTAGCTTTACATGTGTTATTAAATATTATATTTAAAAAGATATATATGATCAAAAATTGATACTACAAAAAGTAAACAGTTTTTATTTCATGTATAAATTATATTTTAAATGTTATAAAATTTTAAATATTTTAATGATGATGAAAAAAATGATAAATAAGTTGTTTCTTAATATTATTTATTTTTTTTAAGTTCCTTTCAAATATTGGGATTCTGATGTTAAGGATGGTTTCACTCAGAAGACAAATGATCATAATTCTAATCATAATAAATATTGGAATGGAAGAGAGAGAAATGAAATTGTTAAAGAATTACAAAAATATTCTAGTAAAGGTTATGGTGAAGGAGGTGAGTTTATGTAAATTATTAGAATAATAATAAGTTTTAAATATATATTCTAAATATTAGTTACAATATCAGAATAATATTTTGCAACTGTAATGTTTAATTTGAAATATTGTTATTTTGATTATTTAATTATTTCTTCTAAGTATAGGCCCAGAGTCTGTTAAGAAATCATACCACCACCATTTTTTTTTTTTTTTTNAAAGGCAAATTTTGCTTGGGGGCCACGCAGCCCCCATGATACCAGTTACGTTTGAAAAATTTACGATACCAGTTAAGGGTTAATCTCTTCCGTTAAGAAAAATTTTTATCACCCACATTGGTTTTCAATGATGTCACATGACTAATTTTAATGGGTTTTCTTAAGTTTATTTTTGTGTGGTTGTGGTTAAATATTATGCCAGGAGAAAATGAATTGGGAAGAGAAAAAAATCCAGAAAATTTATTATTATGCTTAGGCTGGTTACTCAGAAGAGGCCATAGTGGTCTCCTTAATTAATAGGTCCAAAAACAGTAATTCATCATGTTTTGGGAAAAAATGGAAAATTATGTACAGAACAAGACATTTGGTTGAAAAAAATCACTGTCCTCATTTGATTACAGATGTGTTTTTTTGTCTGGTAACTCAACAGGACATGTCCACAAGAGAGATTTCATATGAAATTGGGGCAAAAGTTTCACATGTAATTGTTTGGAAAATATTAAGGAAAAACAAGAATGCAAGTGACATAAAACTAAAGGATAATTCCAAACAGACTGATTCACATAAACAAGCAAGATTACAATAGGCCAAGAAGTATATATCCTGGATCAGTGTGGTGTTTTCTGATGAGAAGTTTAATCTTGACAACCCATATGGAAATAATGCATATTGGCATGATTTGTGCAAGGCACTTCAGCAATTATTTTAGTAGACAAATGTGTGGAGACACTGTCATGGTTTGGGGATCATTCTGTTAGGATGCTAACCTTTTTCTTATTAAAGTTAGCATTAAATTAAAATATGAAAATTATTAAGTGTTAATGGAAGAACATGTGCTTCCATTTAGATCACATTTTAGATGAAGAAAACAGTACTACGAACAAGACAGTGCCACCTGCCATAACTCAAAGGCAACTCAAGACTGGTTTAAGGGAAAGAAAATGTTTTACCCTGGCCATCAAGAAGTCCTGACTTAAATCCCTTTGAAAACTTTTAGCAGATTTTAAGTCAGAAGGTATATGCAAACAATTGCCAATTTTCAAGTGTTTGAGAACTTGAATGTGAAATTATGCACCAATGGCATAAGAATAATATTGACAACAACCTACTGAAAAAATTGGTAGAATCGATACCATATTTGTTTTCATTGTGGTCTTATAAAGTCAAATTTTCACTGTTAATAAATTATAAGACCACCATGAGAAAATGATTTAATCTCTTCCGTTAAGAAAAATTTTTATCACCCACATTGGTTTTCAATGATGTCACATGACTAATTTTAATGGGTTTTCTTAAGTTTATTTTTGTGTGGTTGTGGTTAAATATTATGCCAGGAGAAAATGAATTGGGAAGAGAAAAAAATCCAGAAAATTTATTATTATGCTTAGGCTGGTTACTCAGAAGAGGCCATAGTGGTCTCCTTAATTAATAGGTCCAAAAACAGTAATTCATCATGTTTTGGGAAAAAATGGAAAATTATGTACAGAACAAGACATTTGGTTGAAAAAAATCACTGTCCTCATTTGATTACAGATGTGTTTTTTGTCTGGTAACTCAACAGGACATGTCCACAAGAGAGATTTCATATGAAATTGGGGCAAAAGTTTCACATGTAATTGTTTGGAAAATATTAAGGAAAAACAAGAATGCAAGTGACATAAAACTAAAGGATAATTCCAAACAGACTGATTCACATAAACAAGCAAGATTACAATAGGCCAAGAAGTATATATCCTGGATCAGTGTGGTGTTTTCTGATGAGAAGTTTAATCTTGACAACCCAGATGGAAATAATGCATATTGGCATGATTTGTGCAAGGCACTTCAGCAATTATTTTAGTAGACAAATGTGTGGAGACACTGTCATGGTTTGGGGATCATTCTGTTAGGATGCTAACCTTTTTCTTATTAAAGTTAGCATTAAATTAAAATATGAAAATTATTAAGTGTTAATGGAAGAACATGTGCTTCCATTTAGATCACATTTTAGATGAAGAAAACAGTACTACGAACAAGACAGTGCCACCTGCCATAACTCAAAGGCAACTCAAGACTGGTTTAAGGGAAAGAAAATGTTTTACCCTGGCCATCAAGAAGTCCTGACTTAAATCCCTTTGAAAACTTTTAGCAGATTTTAAGTCAGAAGGTATATGCAAACAATTGCCAATTTTTAAGTGTTCCAGAATTTGAATTTGAAATTATGTGCCAATAGAATAATATTGACAACAACCTACTGAAAAAATTGGTAGAATCAATGCCAAACAGGCTATTTAAAGTGATAAGAAATGGAGCAGAAATCAACTATTAATCAACAAAAAAATTACTTTTTAATATAATAATTGTTTTCATGGTGGTGTTATAATAAATTTTAGCAACACTAATTTTTTTAAAGGAAAATTTGACTTTTGCAAAACTAATAACTAAATTTTGATTTTTTGCAAAACTAATAACTAAAATTTGTTGAAATTGTTGAACTGATTGTTCAAAACTTAATTATTTATTGTACTTGTTTTGGGGGGAATAATATTGATCTTAAACATTGTTAGTTTTGAGAAAACTAAAAAATTGTAATGGTCTTATGATTTCTTAACAGACTGTATATACACTGTTGCTTTAAGGTGCATCAATTTTTTTTTGTGATTTTTCTTTTAAGCTAATACATTTGAAATAAATTAAAAACCAAACAATTACCATAATTAATCAGGCTATGTTTTGCTACTATTAATAATAAGTAATTTGATATTAGAGGTAGACATAGGCACCATCTCAAAATTAATAAGTATATATAATTGAAATAAATTGTAAATATACAATATAACTGAAGTCACCATTAAGGTTGGTTTCTATGCTAAGAAATGGTTTCTGTTAGTGATGGGATGATTTATTGGAATCAGAAAAATCTGGCATTTTTCAAATTGGAATCAAGCAAATTTTGCCATAATTTCCAATTCTTAAAACGATTCTTCCATATTTAACAAGAAACTTAATTACTTGTTTCATTCAAAGATTAAAAATTTTTAAAATTATGATATTAACAATTAAGTATTAGTTTATTGGAAGCTTTCACATCAACAAATCAGAGAGAATGCAATGCTCCATACATGAGGTGATGTCTGTCGTGTAGTCTGAGTGGTGAGACATTGCATTCAGTTGGATACTGTCTCCATTTTAGGGGAAATAGGATGACATTAGGGTTGCCACCTGCCCAGTATCGGGTTGATTTGGCTGGCAGTTTTAAATTGAAGCAAGCTGGCGGTCAACAAAAATATTTAATGTCAGCAAAACAGTTTAAAATATAAACAAATTATATTTTAATTAAAAAAATATTATATAAAATTATTTTTAATATTTAGTATGTTTAATTATAATGAAAAAATGAACAACAGCTTAAATACTTTTTTCAGCAACACTAATTTTTTAAAAGAACATTTATAACCCCTTTTCATAGGTCTGCATCAGATTTAAGAGTTATCCAGAGAATGGAAGTTGTGAAAAGTTATAAACACTTGCAATCATTTTGTGTAGTTGATAAATAGCATAATTTATTTGTTAAAGGAGTTTAAAAATTATAAAGAAATAGAAAGTAGATCTATTAAGAAAATCAAGGGAGTGAGAGAAAGCAGACAATATTTACTCATCAAGATAGGTTGATTGTAAGTGCTGCAACTAGAGACCCAAAGAAAACTGCAAGAGAAATTAAATTTGATGAAAAAAGAGGATCCTTCAATTCAAATGATTAGAAACTGATTACATGAGAATCTTTTATATAATTACATTTTTATCACTTGTAAAGTAAAACATTATGAAAGAAATATAATCCAGAGTTCTGTGTATGTTTGGGAATTTTTGAGTCTGAAAATATTCCTCACCCCTGAATAACAATGCCTTATTTAAACTGATATTTATATTCTGATCATATGCTTTCTGAGCTTGACTTGTCTGTGATTTTAACTTTTAATCTTTCCAATATTCTACCATCCTGTTTTCAGATTTCTGTATTTAGAACCTGCCTTTCTCATTTATTGCTTTATAACTAAATTACTGAAATTGGTTTTCTTTCTTTCTTTTGAAAAGTTTTTGACTTTTTGAAGATAGTTTGAAAATTGTTTCTGTAGTACTCAAATACAAAATCATTATTTCTTTGTACAAAAAAATTATTTCAGTAAAAGATTTTGTAGAGAAATTAGTGATGGGATGGGACAATACCAAAATTTCACCCAATTCCAATTTTGATTTTGCCAAAAACTCATAATTTTGATAAGATTCTGATTCTTTTGAATAGTTTCTAAAGTTTGTTTTTGTTTAGAAAAATTAACGATTTACATTATGAGCACAGTACGTTCATTAATTAATAAACATTAAGCTTAAGAATGTAAAACGATTGGGAAAGCTAAAATCAGTCTTTTGAAAGAAACTTGAAAATTCTCTATTTATATGTGGATACGCATGGTTTTATTGTGTACTACAAAACAAATTTGTACTTTTATTTGAGAGAAAGTTAATATTGTAACACTATCCCCAAAGAAATTAAAACTAATTAATTCCCTTTTACTCAAAAAACTATCCCATTGTGTCCCTTAGGGGCTGCATGTTTGGAAACTACTTCATTGGTTTATGCGATGACCAGGGGAGGAAGAAAGTAAATGAAATGCAATTCTTTTTTCATGCTTATTGCAATTGGCATGCCTTGTAAATGTTTTAATTTCAATGTATTTAACACTAAATGAGATTTGGCAAATGATGGAATGAGCCAAACAAATATCATCATCATCATCACGAGTTAATCAAGTTTTGAATTCAT